AAATAAAAAAAATTACAATACTATTTTTGCGTTATATGAAATTTTTTGTTGCTCCGTATAAAATTTTTAATCACCCCCCCCCTCCCAGTGAAAGGTGTCCCTCTTTACCAATCTGAAAAGCTGGTCACCTTAAGCAAGAGGTCTCTCAGAGGAGGGGTGATTGGTGAGCTTTGCTAAATAAATAAAATCACATAGTTGTCCCACTTCTCTCTAGTTTTTTCCAAATGATTCAGCTCAAACTTCATTATAATTATAAATAGAGTGAGAAAAAATAGTTGTCTAAGCCAAACATTATTATCTTAATTTATTTTAGAGGAAAAGCACAGTGTAAAAAGAATCAATTCAATTCTTTTTGATAATAACTATATAGCAAATCCTCAGATGACAAGACCACCAAGACAAGTACCAGCTCAGCTGAATATGTTCATCCTACTAATCAATGTCTTTTACCAGACTGGAATTTGTTTCATTTCTTAATAAAGTAGTTCTTCTTTCTTGTGCATAAACTGTTGTATACCGAAAATGGAATTCTTTCACCAATACTTCCTGTTTTTAATCTAATTACTAAATCTCTTGTTTTATTTCATACGTTGTTTCTTCCTGAAAAACTGGTGTTATGTTTTCTCTAATCTATCTCACTCATTTTTAGAAACTCATGGAACTTCCTAAAATTTGTGGCATCTTTGCAGGTGATTCCTTCCCTTCTGCCTTCTAATCTTTCTTATATGAATCCAATTCTACCATATTATAACATACTTCCTGAAGCTAAAAAAGTATAAATCAGATTAATAATGATAAGGAAAATTAGTAAAAAATCTAGTGCATTTTGAATTTTGAAGACAAAAACTATAGCCAGTAAAATTAGATTTTAATTTTAAAAGATAGCATTTTTATTTATTAATGAATTTTATTTTGGGGCATTAAGAAATACTTATATTAAGTATAAGTTAAGATAAATATTTTACCAAATATGATTTTTTTATTCCAGATGTTACTAATACTTGCAACCGATAATCAATTTAAACAATTGCAGATGGATATTTCTAAGTTTAAATGGCAAGGGAAAAAACAAAGAATTAGATATAAGCTACTGAAAGATGCAAAGGAAAGAGGGAGTTTGGGTCTACCAGATTGTATTTTGATGCATGCTGTCTGGCCTGGTTAAAAGAATGGGTGAACCTCCAGAAAACGAGGTTACTTTAATTAAAGGGCCATGAATTAAGGTTTTGGATGGCATGCTAGCTATGTTTTGATAAAATTAAAGTTAAGTTCACTTCTCATCCAAGAAGCTTCTTCAGCTCTGAATGGATGGTGGGGAATGGAAGGATTTATATTCCTTGCAGGCAGCTGGTCATTTGCATTCTTTTAGCAGATCATTAAGGTCACCGGGAAGTTTTTCTGTGTCATCAGGGTCACCTGAGTGGTGCAAATTGGTGTAGAGCCTTCTTGGAACTGCTGAAAGGACAGCAGACACATCAGGACTAGATTCAGCAGTCTATGTGCATTTAAAAGACACAGGCCACTCTTTTGAAGATAACAAAGATAACAAAGTCCACATTTTGGACAGAGAGGTTTGAAAGAGGGGTTAAAGAGACAACCTATGTCAAAATTGAACGGCCATCTCTCAAAAGAGGGGGAGGGATATGACATTATCTATCTCCAGTTTACAACACAGTCCTTTCAACAATTCCAACACCACACCAATTTGCACCACTTGGGTGACCCTGACCGTAACGATCTGCTAAAAGAATGAAGAGGGGGTTCTGTGAGTGCCTGTTCCACCCCCAGCCTCACCAAGCCCTTGCGCAGCTCTCCCAGGGCACCGCCGCCGCCACCATGCTCCAAGTATAACTTCCAAACTCCAAAACTCAGTTGCAGAGTCTTCCAGCATCAGCTGCTCTAGGAGTGCTCTCTATGGTGGGCCAGCTGCTGGAAGACTCTCTGTCTGGAAGACTCTCTGTCAGGCAGCCGACCCACCATAGAGATCACTCCTAGAGCAGCCAATGCTGGAAGACTAGGCAGCTGGGTTTTGGAGTTTGGAAGTTATGCTCGGAGTGTGGCGGCGGCAGCGGCAGGCAGCAGCAGTGCCCTGGGAGAGCTGCACAAGAGCTTGGTGAGGCTGGGGGCAGAACAGGCACTCGCGCAACTCCAGAGCTCCATGCACTGACCTAGGGGGTATCCCGAATGTGCCAAGCCGGGGGAACTGGGGGGCGGGCAGAGCAGCACGTGGCTTGGAGCCTTAGTGATACCCCCTAGGTCAGTTAATGGCACTCTGCCTGGCTGGAGAGGGGATTTGCCGGGCGGCTGCTGGTGAGCATGGTTACCTCATGGCTGCTTCGCCCTTGAGGCTGTGCCCGGCTCTTCGGGAGTCCGCTGGCAAGGGAGCAGCTGCCCAGCAACCCCAAAACAATAAGCCCTCCCTGATAATAAGCCCAAGGCCATATTTTGTGGGGCAAAAGAAAATAAGGCCCTGTCGTATTTTGGGGGAAACACGGTAGTAATTCTAAAGGTATCATATGTTTTCAATAATTTTAAATCAACGCTAAAACTAATAATATGTAATAATAGCATTCATTGGGCCAAATTGAAGGTGAAAATCCCATAAGAAATCAGAATAACATAAAAGTAGTTTTAATCTGCTAGAAAAGAAGAGAGATGTATCTTCTGCATTGTAGAAATAGTTAAAATTGTTAAGCAAAAGTCCCCAAAAATGGCAAGGTTTCAAATCCATTAGAACTCTAAGCTGAATATTAAATAAAGAATTGCATACAAAGGCTGAGTATAAAGGACAGTTTGAAATTTTTTGGCAGAGAATAGAAAGGCTACGCACTTTAATTATATTAATATAATTAAGTTAATTAATGGAAAGAGGAAGTATATTTAATTCAAAAACATTTCAGTTTATTATTATTAGTTAATTAAATATATAAATGTGTAAAAATATTTTACATTTTATCAAAAATTAAAACAATACAATGAATATATATAACAGCCGGATTACTTTGCTGTGTATGTACCAGTGATAGCAAATAGGATCCTCGTATAACAAAAACTTTTGAGGGAGATCAGCAGGAATAGCCCCTTTATTTATTTGTCTGTTCTTGTCTACTCTTTTATTTACAACTCAGTTTATAGTGGAATAATTAAATTTTATATTATCTCTTGATTTTATTATCATTTTTAGTTGTGTTGTAAAGAGAAATCTTTTGAAGAGCCTGGTAGGATACAAATACTGGAAATAATGAAATAAAATCAGCAAAATATAAAGAAACATGGTGCCTATATTGACCACATCTTATTTAAATCAATTTAGGATATTAAAATGTGTTTTAAGTAGAACAAATTATTCACCTCATTATCTATAATGAATGTAAAAGAAAGCTTTTCAGTTGAGATACAGATTTATGGAAAGTTTAAAGACTGGCATATTTCTTTTTGGAAACCAATCATTTACTCATATCCTGAAATTTGTTCTGTAATTATCCTAATGTTGGAGTGGAAATTAAATCAGAAATGAATATACAGCATATGCAACGGTTCAAAGACTGAAAGTACCACCTCCATCCAATCAAGAGTCAATGAGAAAAGAAAATTCTCTTATTTTTAATCAGAATTTGCTGAGAGTTATTCTAGTGATGAGGCAGCAGACAGGTAGGTAGTTAGGAACCTTAATCTTAAATGGGACAAAAGGAGCCTAGGAGAAATAATTGCCAGGAAACAGGAGGTGGGGTTGGTATTTTCTCAAAATAAACTATAGATCTGTACTAAACCTGTTCACCAAAGCCAGAACATACAGTCACAGTATAAAGATATCCCAAGAAGCAATGTACACCACAACTCTCAATACATTGCAGACCTATACCTATGTACTACATCTTGATACACATTTTTACCACGTTAAATATAACATCCTATAAATTGTAAAAAGTGTTGTTTAAACATTGATATACATATTTATATGTTGTATATGTAGAAGAGTACATCTTCATATAAGAAAGTTCCATTAAGGGCTTGTAGAAATTATACTAAATTGCAAATAAACTTATTAATAGCACAACATAGACAGCAATATTTTCTAAGGGTACAACCTATACATCTGCAACATCTGTTTGATAGCAGATACATTGAGTAGGTAATGGGAGCTGCACAATGTTATATTTAAAGTGACACCACAGGTAAACTCAGAATGCTTTTCCTTATCAGAAATTTAACATTTTCTATGATTTACATTTTTTAATTAAACAGCATTTCACTTTTTGCAACAGAGGGTGTTTCTGAAGCAACACCTCAATTATAAAATTGTATCTCAAAGGTGGAATGGTGGCATTTAAATGGGAAATGAAAACCATTTTATCTCCCTGATTTTATAATGTAACATAATTAAAGGTTTTCAACTTGAATTTTAGTTAATTTATGACATTTCATTTGCTTTTGTTCTGCTATTTAAACTGCTTTTGGTCTCATCATTAGTGGTGTAAAGCAATTTAACAAATACTTTCATGAAAGTATAGATAAAATATGTTTAAGAAACAATCTCATAGCTTAAATTTTGCTACAACTACTTGAATTTGTACATACCTGCTATTCTTTGATAATAAATCAAGGCTGGAGCATCTTTCAGACGTTTTGACTCTCTCCTCATCAATGCATCTTCTAACCCTTCCAGAGAATCCAACCAAGACTAGGATTCATCACAACTATTGCTCCAAACGTGGAGACAAAACATTTTGTGTGTGTGGAATATCAAAAATTGTCATCAGGCACTGCAGAAATCTCTTTGTTCTTGAATGGTTTTACACGTTGGCCTAAGAAACAAACACATGTCAAGTACTAAGATGAGTTGTATGAAACAAAACTGGGATTAATGGCAGAACATTTCTGGAAAAGAAAAAATACATTGTGTCTTTTAAGTGTTTTAAACAAATACCATGTTTTCCTACTAAAACCAAATGACAAAAATATTACTCTTCAAATTCAATATATTAATATAATTATGTTGCAAATTAATACAAGTGTTTAAAGTCAAATATATCATTCATTGAATTGATAAAGTGATAGCCAAGATATAATGAGTATACAGAAGAGCTACTAAAAACTTTCCATTGGAAATTAAAAACAAATCAATAAATGGATAAATTTTAAAAAACACTGATTTTGAATAAAGGTAATTTATTATTACAGTCAGATATCCAAATCAGTAATTCAGAAAACATTCAGTTTGCTTCAGACAACAGTCTAGAAATCCAAAATCCTACTGTGTTACATTGAAAATAAATCCTAGCCTGATTTTTGGGGTGGGCCTAATATATGCCTGTTGTGGCCCAGCAGGAGCCACAGACTCCGACAGCGAGGGTCCTATGAGTCGGCTTTGGAGGATGTGGAGGACCCTGGACAGGGTTCCGACTCTGAGTAAGGCGCAGAGTTGTCCACCAGGAGGCGCCTGAGCCTTGGACCAGTGGGGAGGAGACAAGGGAGTGTGATCCAGACGTCAGCAATGAGTTGTTCCTGGATGCCCGGCACCGAAGAGCTAATAGGCATAAGGAACAGTTGCACAGTTACAGGAGGTAATTGCACTCA